AAGCACCAAAATGTGTTGTTTTTGTGTTATTCAAAAATAAATGAAATTAAATGTTTCATACCTTGTGTTCATAACTCATATAGACTCACCTATATATTTGTAGCAGTTAAAAAACATAATAAAAGCATTTTATCATAGAACATATGCGTTCAAGTCACTGACTGACTGTGAATTGGATTTTAATACACTTTTAAGATCAAGACAAAAATAGTCACTGACCCATAAATCATCTAAGAGGCATTGACACGCATTATTATTAATTAGAACAGAAAGATTATTGCTTGACTTTGTCATGAAGAAGCAGTCTAATTGTAATGAGTATTAATAATTTTAATAATCCAAAATCATGTTTTTTTTTACTCAAGCACCTACCCATGCATGCAGAAGATTTTTTTGACCCATGCACGCTCACTGTACTCTGCGGTCTCTGTCACGATGTTGAAAATAAATGCGATAGACCATGAGGGCATATCACAGACTTGCACTACCAGACAGGAAAAGAACAGCACAGCACGTTGTGCTTGAGATACAGGATCTCAAGTTTTTATTGGATTTATTTTATTTTATTTCTCACATTAGCATCAGACTACTCTGGAGATATAGGTACAGTATAGAAGTAACGTTGGCAGAATTCAAATGAGAAGGACACAGCAAACAGAAACTCTGTGTTACCCCAGTCAAAACAATGTCCTGGCCTCACACTCCCCCATCCAGTGCTATGAGGAATTCTGAGCATGTTTCACTCTCTCCTGTGAAAGAAGTACTTTGGACACAAGCATGTCACTGCAGGATGTGAGGAACTGTGTTTATTTGCATAAAAGGTCATTTTCATCCATAGTTGCACAGCTGCTAAAAATGATTATCAATGTTACATTCTTCAGTTCTCCAAAGAGCTGAATGTGTCTTGTATTTTATGTGAACTTCTTTGTGATTTAGAGAGCAATTCACATGCATGTAAGTTATCAATGATTCAGTGATTGTTGTGTAGCAACACAGACAATGCAGCATACTGTATAATTAATCTTTATTCATCAGGGGTCTCCTGCTTTACATTTGAAGGGCTCTCCGAGCAAGAGAGTGCTGGTGTAAACCTCAAGCTTTACAATAAAAGATGGAAAAGACCAGTGGATGAGATCAGTCAGAACCAGGATCTGGAACGTTATAAAGAGCACGGCAAATTGGATTCAGAGCGCTTTCCAGAAGTTGTGACAAATGAGACTCATGATAACTTATCCATTAAGGTGAACAGTCAAGAATGTATTAACTCATATTTATAAAATAGTCTCTCATGTGTACATTTGTAAGTAAGGTGTATATTTGTTCATCAGAGAGATATGGACCATGTCTACTACACATCCAAATTCTATGGGCCCACAGATAGTCCAGACA